GGGGGGGGGGGGGGAATTATTTGTAATACAGACTTACCCTGAGAATCTTTGCAGTGTAGCTATATTACTGTGCCCCTCCCCACCAAGCACAGTGGTTGGGTCCTTCTGTGACAAAATAAGGGAAATGAGCTCCAATTAAGTCAATGGGATTTTTCCCATTACAGGATAGGCAGCAAGTTCAGACTTCTCATTTGGGGTTAAACAGAGGAAACAAAAGATTGGAAAGAAATAGCAATGAGAACATCACTCCTGCTTTAGCCAGTTTTACAGGAGTCGCAGATATTGGAAGTGAAAGCTCCTTGGGCCCTATAGCTGAAAAAGGGTTAAGAACCCTCAAATTGAACTCATAAAATATTTTTATTCCAGTTAAAAAAAAATTGCAATGTCTTGTAGATGAAACACTCGTCTTATAAGAGTCAATCAAGAGAGAGAAATGTACATTTTAGTCTTAAGTTGTTGAACAATATAGGTTTACCTCAGCATTTAATTCCTTGTGGTTTTTGGACAAATAGAAGTTTATTTACTAAAAATTCACCATCGGAGGGAAAAACCAAGTAACTCCCTGAAACAAGTGCATGCAAACAGTGGCCTCCATTCAGTGAAATACTTAAGCATATACTTAAATCCATTCCTGTTCAGTGAAGTGCATAAGTATGTACCTGAATTGTAACTTAAGAGTTACTTTTAGTCATGCTACTCATAACCTTGTCTTACTATCATGCCTGTAGTAACTTTATATTTCTTTTCACAGCGGAGAAAATCCTTTTGCTACTGTGAAACTCCGACCAACAGTTACAAATGACAGATCAGCACCAATAATTCGATGAATACCATTCCTGAAAATATTTTTACTCTTTGTGAACACCATGTTCAGCAATATGATTATAAGGCTATCTAATGTTATTTAAATGTAATTAGTGTACAGTAGGAGAATATTGGACTGGATTTCTGATTTTAACAATCCATTTGCTTTATAAATGAGGTAAATTGCTCTGAGTTAAAATGTTTGAGAATTTTGGCTTAATTTTACATTACATGCCTTTTTTTAGGAAGACAGTTATAAAAGTATAGGGGAAGTTTAAATACTGAAGTTACCTGCATACTTTATCAACACACATCTATTGTATGGAAATACCATGGACAAGTTTGCAATTAAGTCTGCATATATTGTTTAGTAGATAAACTGCATTTTAATAAAAGGGGTACTACAGCTGTTGCCTTAACACTAAGAATAGAAGTTTGATGTATAAAATGATTATGCATTGCATTTTGTTTTAGATGTCTTGGGTTATAAATAGATAATAAATATTTATCCTCTAAGAGCTTAGACAAATGTTGTATGCTTTGCTTGATGTTCAGATTACATAATTTGCATTTTGTCAGCAGTAAGTTATTAAAATTATACAAAATCTGATTTATTTCATTAGTCATATTCTATTCTGAAAAAAGGAGTGGTTATGTGCTAATGAAATAATTGTTTACCTATTTGCAATATGGTACTTTCCCTAAAAGAATATGAAACTACTCAAATGTCACTTATAAAAAATTTGACCTATTTTTTATAAAAAGTAACACAATATTGCAACATTTTTTCTTTACATTCCCGTGCAAACAGTTGTCTTAAAACAAACATTCCCCCTCTGCATCAGCAGGTCTGTATCCCAAACATTGCAGCATTCAGAACCTGATAAGAGCATTTTACTAACAAAAATCCCTGACTTAATTTTATTGTCTATAATTAGAAATGAAGAATGAATTGCATTTTTTAAATTTCATTTGTAATAATACCATCCCATAGTAATTTACTTATAATCCTAAGTAGACAGTGTCTCTTTAAGTTACAGAAATTCTGAACATTATATTTAAAAGGGTATTTTATAAGGTATTTAATACAATGTTATAAGTTTGATGGCTGATCAAAGAAAACTGAGTTCTAATTAGTGATGCTGATACCTTGAGCCCCTAAATCCTCAAACTTCACAGATCACCTCTGCCTATCAATCACCCTACTGCCCATGACTCTAATCTCCTAAAAGTGGCAGAATTAGGTCTGCTCATTTCCAGTAAGTAACAACCAATGAAAAACTATGGTCCTGACAGGTCAGTTGCCCGAGTGGCCTGTTTCATGATGTGCCACCATTCTAAGTGGTGCTATAGTGTCAGGATGCTATTTCCCAGATGATGTGAAACACAGATTTGACTACTTTGTCATTGAAATCCCAGGCTACGTCTACACTGGCATGATTTTCCGGAAATGCTTTTAACTGAAAAGTTTTCCGTTAAGCATTTTTGAAAAAGTGTGTCTAGATTGGCAGGATGCTTTTGCGGAAAAGCGTCCGTGGCCAATCTAGACACGCTTTTCCGCAAAAAAGCCCCGATCGCCATTTTCGCGATCGGGGCTTTTTTGCCGAAAACAAATCTCTGGTGTCTACACTGGCCCTTTTGTGCAAAAGTTTTTCGCCCGAACGGGAGCAGCCTAGTATTTCCGCAAAAGCACTGACAATCTTACATGAGATCATTAGTGCTTTTGCGGAAAAACTTGCCAGTCTAGACACAGCCCCATTGTCTGTTTTCCAAGAATAAGGAAATCTGCACCAGCACACTGGTTCAATTCTAACTTAAGTTTTGCATTTTGTTTAATATTCCTACATTCCTCCAGAAATATCACTTGGATACCTTGTTTCTTCACTCTTTGAGAAATGGTTATGTAACATTCATTTACGCTGTAGCTAGCTACAATTTCAGAGTTAGCGATCATTGAAGCTAATTTCTAAAGTGCTTTGCAATCCTTCCCCATTAAAAGCACTTCACAAGTGTAATATGTTTGTGAATTTGGATTCATAACAGCTGTACTTTGAAAAGGTTGGATACTGATCTGGAAAAAGTTTTTCTGTAAATATCTAATCATTTGAGAAATGAGGAAAACTGACAAAGGTAAAGCACAGAATACAAACTGCCATGGATTATTTGTGTGCCCGTTCAAGTTTGTAACCTTATCCCATAGGCAAATATTTCAGGAGATGTAAAGCTCCTATGCTGCCCCACATTCTGCACTCTGATGGTAACCCTCATTACTTTCCACTAAGATTGTCTAGCTATCTTGGTATTTGTCAGTTGTAACTCCTGCCACTGTATTACTATCTGAACTTTAAAGGACTATGGAAAGGAGTTGAAGCATTTCCATTGGACTTCAGGGGATTTGGATCAGGTAGTTCAGGAAAGATTTTTTTAAAATCCGTCGTCACTAATACAACCTGATGCTTTCCACTTTTTTTTTGTAGCCCCAGTAATTGCTAAGGGAGACTAGCAGTTGGACTATAAGTCACTAAGATTGTAAGACTAATTTGATATTGGCTCAAACAACCATTTTTCTGAGATTAAATATAAGGCAACAAAGATGTTAAAGCTTATTTTAATAATTTTCTTACTGCTTCCTTATTGAAACGGAATGCTTAAAGTTTCTCCTTTTTTTGAAAAGGTAGTCATTGGAATACTTGTCTCATGTCTTCTGTTACTGTCATTTGTGTGTGGATGAGGAAGAATTGTGCAATAGAAGCAAATTCATTAGCTGTGATGATTTAAAGATACTTTTCCACAGCAACTTGTTTTGATGAAGTGTATCATATTAGAACTTTGACAGTCTTCCTAGTGATTTAGACAAGTTATGTATTTCCAAAAATTAAGTGCCATTAGTAGAGCTGTAAAATCCTATTCAATAGGTTAAGAGTATTGTTTGACTGATGGCTAGGCTGTGGGCCCCCATGGGGCTGGAGCAGCACCTGGAGAGCTACTCCAGCTCTCACCAGAACCCCTAATCACCAATTCACAACCTTAATTTATTTTTTCCACTTTCTGAAAAGGATTCTGAAGAAACTTCAAGTCTTTCATAAGATAAAATGACAGCATAATTTTATGGGGTCTGGAAATTCCCTATAATGTTCCAATTTGTGAATGATTGCATCTCTTTACACAATTTACCTTCCTGAAATACATTTAGTACTGCTGCATCCTGTGAAGCGTATGGTCAGAGTTAGTCCAACAAAAAAATAAAATTCAAAAACTTAGATTTCAGGAGGTCTGAACCAGCTCTATTTGGCTCCCAAAAAATGCAACAAGTTGATGTTAGAACTTGTCTCCCGCAAATTTGAAAACAACATTGACCAATGCTTGTTCCCCAAATTGTAAGACTCTCCATTATTCCCACTTTAACAGTAGATGACTTCTATTGCTAGAATCTCTACATTCTAGATTTTACTTTAAACATCTGAAACTTAACACTGCATCAAGCACAGCTGTCTGCATGCAAAGTGTATAGTTTTCAGTTCTCCCTATTAACAGCAAAAAAACAGCCGTTAGTCCAAAATAATGCATGAATCTACAAAGCAATTCTGTTGTTTTGAATTTTTTTCAAAACAGACAGCTTATTCTGACTTCTTAACCTCATTCCATGAGGATACACACCTATTCCGAAATAGCTATTTTGGAATAGCAGTAGTGTGGATACTCCTCTGCTGCTGTTTCAAAATAGCTCCTCCCGAAGGCCATTCAGAATAATTACTCCCTGGTGCTTTCTGGGGCTCTAGCTCAAGACAGCATGTCTACATTAGGGAAGCCTGCCTCGGACTAATTTTGAGGCTTCCCTGTAATATAGACATGCTATTTTGGAGTATTTCTTCTGGAATAGCTTATTTCAAAATAAGTGTGCAGTGTAGACATACCCTAAGTGATTCACTTTTTTTTTTAAGTACATGATGACAAAGTGCATACTTTGTATACAAAATTCAGCCTTTCCACAAGTTGTGAAGATTGCAAAAAGAGAAGCAGTTTTATTTAAGTTTAAAGGTGCCATTAAACATGGAAATAAGGTGGATTTTCATGTTTTGCAATGCACATGCTCATAAAACAGATTAAGTTCATCACATGCAAGACTAATCACACTTTACAAAACACGTCTCAAGCATAATCAAATAAAATGATTGTACATGACATTTACATTAGAAACAAGTACTACAACAGATGTGGCCTCCATAAGCCTGTTCAGGTTGATCCCTTAACCAAAAGTTGCCCCACAGTTAGGACATCTTCGTTGCCTCAGAGCAAGACAGAAAAGAATTCCAATTGGAAAGAATACGATGGCACAAAAGACACCAAGACAGGTGAACGTGTCTTCCAATACACCAACTCTACAGGAGGAAAAAAAATATGTAAGTCACAAAATGTCCTCTGACTTATAGGCACGTGAAACAGCATTCTTGTATAAGTTTCCCATGGCTGAATTTACTTTTCTTTAGTCTTGTTCTCAGGAACAGCTGAACCATTTCAGCTGAAATCTCTCAGAACAATTCAACCACAAGCAGACACCTGGGCATGCAAAATTTCAGTCCAGACAATTAATTTGGCAAACACAAGTAACTGAAAACAGACTTTTCCCCATGTTAAATTATGGAGGACCTTTTCTTTGGGAAGCTATAGGATTCCTACCCATATTTAGAGAGCAGGAAACTGACATTTGGCACAGGGTTGCCTTTGCCAGTCTTTTGAAAATCTGCCCAATATTGACCAAATTATAAACCTTTGGAAAAAACAGCAGTTTACACGTGTTTAGTAGAAATTTGCTAGACATTTGCAGCTATAGTCTTAAATATTCTGTCCACCCTGGGTATGCTCCAGACTAGGCTTACAAACTTTCATTGTCCTTCAGGATGCATGCAATTACCAGAATGTAGGTGGGGGGAAGACTGGAGGCTGAGAGTTTGGAGCCACGGTGGGAAACAGTAAACAAAGAATTGAGAACCAAGAAGGAAAATGGGGTTGGTATCTTGCTTGCATGCCAGACTAAAACTGAATGGATTTAAAAATAGGGATTATACATTGCGATTGTACAGCCAGCAAAAGAGTAACAGTTACACTACCAAAAAGTTACTCTACTGTAAATTCAGATTATTGCAGAGGTACCCTCAATGCAGGGCACATTTAAAAAAAAAAAAAAAAAAAAAAAAAACAAGTATAGCCCCAGTCCTGCAAAGATTTATTTACACAAGTAGTAGCCCCTACACCCATGCACATGTTTAAATCTTTGCATCATCAGGGCCATTATTAAAAAACAGTCATAGAACTAAGTGCACAATTCACTTAAGCAATTCTACTCTTAACATGGTGATTTTTAAGCAGCTTGTGACAGGTGCTTTTGTTCAGTGCAGTTTCCTTAAATTTTGGCTTTAAAAGCTAAAAAGGCACCAGTCCATCTGAGTGTCCACCACCCTGTGTAACCACTATAAAAAACATTCAAGATGATAGATAATTTATGCAGAAGTTTCAGCCCAGTGTGAGCAGTCCAGCTGCCATCCCTAAAAGGTCTTTCCAAACAAAATGAAATTGCAGTGTCAGAAAACTGTGTCAGATGCTCACTCCTTTGTTTTAAGGAGGTTTAAGGTTCACATATGTAAATACAGCTTTCAAATGTCACAAGTTAGCATAATATGTTACACTGATATAAAATCCCTGGAGGTTTTTTTTTTTTAAATCATTAACTTGAAAGTGCACAAACTTAAATACACTGATCAAGGCTCAATCTATTGCAACTTTAGTTCATTATAAATATTTTTACAATGCCAGTACCACTAGTAGGACCTTATTTTAACAGACTATACATTAAAGAATAAAATAGAAAGTTGGAAGTTGACATTAAACACATTACAGGCAGTCCCTGGGTTACGTACAAGATAGGGACTGTAGGTTTGTTCTTAAGTTGAATCTGTATGTAAGTCGGAACTGGCGTCCAGATTCAGCCGCTGCTGAAACTGATCAGTTTCAACAGTGGCTGAAT